AAATGCGAGTTTTGAGCAGTGTAGAGTAGGCTTGTTGTTTGTTGTTTCACCGATCACAAATGCAGACATGGTTTTATGTTTACGCAGCACAATACGCAACGTGTAAAAAGGCAGTATAAGTCATTATAATCAATAATTATGTCCCCACTGGATGCACAAAATGCCTCGATTGTAATGGGTTTTATTGGTTTGGTCTCGTCTAGTGATGTCCGGATCGCGAACGAATCGTTCTATTTAACACGATCTTCTTAGTGAACCGGTCGAATCAGTTCACCAAATCGAACTGAATCGTTTGAAACGGTTCGCGTCTCCAGTACGCACTAATCCACAAATTACTTAAGTTATTCGGTTTATAAACGTGCCTGACACTCCCTCTGACGCGAAATAAACCAATATCCCGAGTTATTTAGTTACTTCTAACAGTACATTGACTGAACTGCAAAAAGAGAACCGATGATGGGATGTGCACGAGCAGAGCAGCTGGACTGAGTCTCGTCCTGCTGGGAGACGGCATCACAGTATGGTAAGGGGCGTAACATTTCCGTCACACGCTTGAGGTATTCGGCCAATCACAATGCACTGGATAGCTGGCCAATCAGAGCACACCTCGCTTTTTTAGAACGATGAGCTTTGTAAAAATCGATGCGTTTCAGAAAGGCGGGGCATAGAGGAGAAACAATAATGTACATTATATGGAAAATAATGTGTTTTTTTAACCTTAAACCGCATAAACACATTGCATTACACCAAATACACAACATAATGTTCTTTTTAGCAACGTCATATGACCCCTTTAATATTGCACTGAGTTGCTGTTTACTTTTGAGCATTACTTCATATGTGGAAATTTAAAAACCAGTTATGTTTTGAAGAGAGTGTTTTATGGTGGTTTACAGAGGCTCTTAAGAAGGCATTTGTTGTCAAAAACAAGCACATATGTTTGAAAGGATCCAAGGAGGCTGAAATTATCCCATATCAGGTGAAAGGTGTGGAGGCTGATGGACATTGAGTCAACCAGAGCCTTGTCCAGAACAGGCAGATCAATGCTGAATAACAAGAGACCCCGTGACATTATTGACTTGCCGAGCAGGCTGCTGCATATTGTTGTCGATCAATACTCAGATACGACCCAGTGTCATTTGAGCCAAGGAGACCTGTGACTTGAGGTACAGGCATATATTTATCAGTATGTGTGCTCCCTGGGTATCAACACATGACTTCTTGGTGTTTCTAGCACTATGCTTCATTGGAGCCACAGGGACATCAACTGTATTATTATTAATACCAATTCTGTTCTAACTTTTTCATGCACAAGTTGTACATTTTCTGCGTCCCTTGTTTGTGTGCTGTTATTGCTGCAATTTTGTGAATTTGTAATGTAAAAACACACAAGAGGGAGACAGTGCGAGTAGTTTAGTCAATTATTCGCATTATTTTCAATTCTAAACCTCCTAAAATGCAGTGAATGATTGTGCAATCAAAACAACCAGCCACAAATTACTTGATAAAGGTAATTTATATATGTATTTTATTTCATTTTTAGTTTTTACCACCATAGACATCAGTGTCTAGATATAATTAGAATTTTTTTCCAAATTCTCGTGTTAGTAGTAGTAATAGTAGTCTGATAAGTGCAGTGACAGCAATGAATTGCTGTGCCATAAAAAAATGGCCACAATTTACGTGTTAAGTTTATTTATTTATCTATTTGTTGTTATCAACATAGATATCCATCTGTAGATACAGTTTGATTACTATTATTAAATGTTTGTAACATTAACAATGATGGTTTCATAAATTATGCTTCTGTAGCCCAAATCATGCAACCTTATAATGTCTCTATAATAATATATTATAATGGCTGTAACATGAGCATGACTCCTCAAACATTTGTACGTTGCAGACAACTGACCTCTAATAAAAAGGCCTTGCATGGAATGTCTGTTACCCATTCAGGGCATCACCTCATGCGAGCAGTCACTGATAAATGCAATGGCTGAGGAATAGCAGACCCAACAGGGAGAGTGTGGATTTATGGAGACAGACAGGATGCTCTAAAGAAAGAGGACAGATGAACACATCTGGAGGAAAACCCTGCATAAAACCACACTCTCCCTGTTGGGTCTGCTATTCCTCAGCCATTGCTCTTCGCTCCTCGCTCCTGTCAGCGGGCACAAAATCAAGCACAGGCATGAAGTCCACATGGACACCAGTAATCCATTAGTCCAGGCTGAGGCTGAGCTCCTTTCAACGTAATCTTTAGCATCAAAGCCATATGCCCCAATGAGCTCAGGTATGGACGTACTGAGTCAGTGGTACTATTATCGGAGCCCCTTACAGTGATCATGTTTGAATTATGGTGTCAGTGAGCACTAAGCCATCTGTTGGTTGCCTGTGATAATACAGCAGATGAACTTGCTATTATTACAGGGCAGATGATCACTAGTAAGGGAACAGAACTGCAATATACCCACAAAGGGATCCAAATTACTCTTGAGCTTTGCCAGTCCATCAGTTCAAACAACCCCTGGTGGCAAAGTCAGCTCTGGTTTTTGCGGGTCTCCATTCAAAACGTCGCGTTACTATAGAAACAAGGCCTCTCTTGCTGAAGTGATGCTAGTTCAAATTTACCTCTGCGGCACTCTGTGGTATCAAGCTTCAAACAAGGTGCCTCAAAAGACTGAACAGATTTCTCTCTCTCTCTCTCTCTCTCCCTCTCCCTCTCCCCTCCTTCTTTTTGTCCTCTCATCTTTCCCCTGCAGTCCATTGATCCAGGCCAGCAGTTCACATGGGAGAACTCCAACTTAGAGGTCAACAAGCCAAAGAACCGTTATGCCAACGTTATTGCTTACGACCACTCGAGAGTTGTTCTCACCCCCGTGGACGGTAAAAGTCAAACAAATGTGTTGACCTTTAACATTTCATTATGGCGACAGATGTGTGTATGTTTAGAGGAAACATGCAGTTAGCACAAATACTGGTTAAGTGGGCCACCAGTGAATTGTTGTCTTTCTCTATAGGTGTTCCAGGCAGCGATTACATCAATGCCAACTACACTGACGGCTACCGTAAGCAGAATGCCTACATTGCCACGCAGGGCCCTCTGCCTGAGACTCTGAGCGACTTCTGGAGGATGGTTTGGGAGCAGAGAGCCAGTACCATCGTCATGATGACCAGACTGGAAGAGAAGACCAGGGTGAGTGCCAGGGGCATAGAGAAGTCAAGACCCAGTATTAAACATCAGCTAAGTTCAAAATGAATAATAATGTGATTGAACTTTCAATCAGTAGTTCCCTCTCCTATTTATAATAATTTTTATTTATTTTTATGTGATGTTTATCTTTATTTATAGTATTTAATGCCACTAAATTTTATATGGAAATATATTATTGAATGAGTTGTATTTCATATATGAATTATAATATTTACTAAACAATTTGAAATGTAAATTCATATATGATTTATACTATTTACTAAATAGTTTAAAATAATTTTTTTAAATGTATTCATACAATATATTCACAATAATTTAAAAAAAAAAAGAAAATTTAAAATATTATTACAATTTAAAATTGTAAGTTTTCTGTTTTAATATACTTTAAAATGTAATTATTTCCTGAGATGGCAAAGCTGAATTTTCAGCAGCCATTACTCAGATTCTTTGATGAACAAAGTTCAGGAGAACAGTAAAACAGTAAATGTAATGTAACAATTTCTTCTTACATAGTAAAGGCATAATTTTATAAAATATTTCTGTCACTTTTGATAAAATTGAGTCCTTGCCAAATAAAATTATTAATTTCTTGAAAAAAAAAAACTGTTGATGATAGTGTAAGTACAGAGTACATAAAACTTTATGTACAAAGAGCACATTTTCTTCGCCCTGAGGTTCCCTCCAAAATAGTAGTATGGGTTCACATACTACATCATGCAGTACAATGGTTCACAACTCTCTTTGTGCTATAAAACATCCATCTGTGCTTGACACTAAAGGGACCTGCATTTCTATGAGTCCAATCACTATGTGGGCTTTTAGTGCGCCGTTGTGCTGAGTACAGCAACAGGCCAGTGGCACCCAGGGTTGGTGAGAAAGCGAGTCTGTCGACTACTCTTCTGTTCAGCTCAAATGTCATGTCTGACAGTAGATAACCTGTAATTCCTCCCCCTGGTGAATGCATGCACTCGGGTTTTTGTTGATGGATGGGAGGTCAGATGGGAGCTAAAGGCTTATAGAGAATGAGACATGTGCTGGCAGAGCTAGCGTGGTAAATGAGTGGGTTTTGGCAAGGCTGTGCCCCTATAAAGCATTGCTTCATAGGTAAAGGGTGTCCCCAAGCCCTGTGATGAAAACCTCCAGCAGAGACAGAACAACTGGCCTAGTTTCACTGCTGACAGGACCTACCTTGAAGAAGAAATTACCTCTACGTCATTTTTAGCTGGTCTTTGCCTGGAGTAAATGATTGAACGCTATACAAAACAGACCATTTAGGGAAATTTCTACCGCTTTTGTCTAATTTAAAATAATATTTGAGTGCACTTTGTTGTTCACAGGAATTGTCCTCAATTCAAAAATAAGCTTTGACCTTTGTGAATTATTTGGTACAGGTGGCACACACCTCTGCCATAACTCACTAATACTATAATGAAATTATATAATACAATACTATAAAGAAACTAGTTAAATATTCACCATTCAAATGTGAATAGTGTATGCTTGTGTAAAGCTGTATAAATATAAGCCCTAGTAATAGGTACACTTGCATTAGAAAGCAGTACAGTTGGCTGATATATTAAATATTCACAGTATATTCACAATAATTTTGTTGGAGATATAAAAAATGTTAATATAATTTTTAATATTATTAATATAATTATTAATGTGTTTTTATATTTTTAAGTTATATTGACATTATTATAATTGATGGCAATTATTATTACGACAGTCTTGCAATTAAGTACGAGTGTAAATATAGAGATTTTTTTTATTTTATTTCTTTTAT